ATTTACCAAAAACTTTCGGAAACTTCCATGGAAAGGTCCATCGAGTGAAGAGTGTGTTCCATTTGACACAAGTTCCATTCGTTTATGCGTTCGTCACCAAAATTCAAGATGGTAGCACAGATATCGCCGTGAATAGCCTGGAACTGCCGGTGATTCCTTGTGAAAACTCGTGAATGGAACATGCTTTTTCATCGGAAATTTTCCAACGGGAAAACAGGACTACCTTTTTAAAATTCCAGTTATTCCCGGGAACTTTCCAGTGGTACGTTCAGAAAACGTGTGTTCCATTAACATCCCGACTGGAATTTTCAGAATTTCTTAGTAAATGGAAAGCGCCTCATATTACACACCCTCGTACCCAGCGTCTTCGTTCCCCTGTACATTAAAAGGAAAAGTATCCCGATTCTGCGCATGCTCAGAATTGTTATTTTTGTTCATACTGTCGTAAAATCAAACGATGCGAGGAGAGTAAGAGAACCTTGAAAATCCGTTTTCATCGCGTTTGGCCGAGTTCGATACTACACTAAAGCTTCTCAAAATTACAGAGCTTCGATATATTGTTGCCATTAAGTTTCGATTTGGGCGAAATCGGGATTTTTTGGCGTTACTTACATTGCCGTTAGCTGGAGGACTAGGAGAAGGGGAGCGCTTTAATGCCAGTTGATGGCTTATTTCTCCCGTTAGCTTTCATACAAGCTCAGATAATCGAGAAAGGAATACGCAGAAATGGAACAGCAACAATAAAGACTATGTAAGAAAGAAACCATTGAGACATGGATGTAGCTGACAGATGTTACGGAATAAGCTTCGTGAATTACAGTGTTTTGCAACGACGCGTTGGAAAACTTTAAAATAAATCTCCCTACGGCCGTTAAAATCAAACAGACAGGCACTACATGTTTTGAGAAACGTGTGCAATGAAATCGTAATATTATGTTTGACTAACATTTGCGATGCTTCATCGCGTTGAGATTGAATTTTTATTTTTATCTTTCGAATTTTTGAGGCTAGAACGCCAGCTTGGATTTGCCACAATTTGACCTCTGACACAAGTTTCACAGCAGAAAAGCTGTTTTAAAAGCTTTTCGGGTCACGAGGCGGCCGAGCTAGCGACAATATCGCGATAAGTCTTCGTGCCGCGAGCCAAATTTTAAATAAGGCGAAGGACTTCTTCGAAAGTCTAAAATATTACTTGAGAACGTAACCAACAAATCTCCGTCTGCGGTGCGGTCCGGAAGGAAATCTTGTCGTGTCAATATGACAGCTCAATTGTCTTTTTAAGAAAGAACAGATGATGCTCTCGCGCGTGCGCATAATCGGGACACTGTCCCTTTAAGAGGCCCTCTCAGGACCTGAGGAGGGTTATGTCTGTCCCTAGTCTGAATTTCAAAACCTGTTGTTTCACGTATTGAGGAGGAGGCCATATCGCTGTCGGTATTTTACTATTGTATTTTCGCTTTTCTCTCTCGCTGTAGCAGTTTCAACCCATCTTTGTGTCGCTTGTCACCATTTCTGCTCCATTGTCGCTGTTCAAAGGCCATGCCAATTGTCGGAATTTACCCTAACGGGGCTCCTGCCCTAACAGGACGTTCCCCAGGGACAAAGAAAACTAACCGTATCATAAAAACGTCAAATCACTTTATTGTGTCAATCAAATTACATGTAGACCTAGATGTTGGAAATGTTAAGTACATTCTATCATTCTTCGTAATTTTGGCGGCGGCATCATGAAATTTTTTATAGCTCATGTCTTCGGCCGCTATCTGTAGAAAACGAAGCGCTTTTGAAATGAAATTTTACTTGTCTTTAAAAACGTGCGTCAAAGATCATGGCGATAGCTTTAGCCGAGCGATGTAGAAAGAAGGATTTGATAAGTATGTGCTGAGGTGCCCTATTTAGCTGTTTGGTAAACATTTTGGTCTTCTTAAACAAATAAGCGAATAATTTTGAAACCGCACGATGGATTTTTTTAAATTTTCAGAGTCTCGAGATTAACCGTCGTTTTGTATTACCCTTAAGTTTTGAGATTATTGATGTCTTGTAAGGCAGTAAAATACGAAGGGCTGCGGCGACCTCAAAGGTTTGACGCGTTTAAGGCATAGCCTCCTCTTCTCACCCTCGATCAAGAAGACGAAAGGAGGCTTTGATCACCAGGTGGAGTCCTCATGATACCAGAAATGATTTTCTCGTTACCATGTAAGCTCTTTTCTACTTTTATGTGGCCTTTCTTCTGTCTCTGGTACAGGGTACTCAGTAAAACGGACCTCTACAGTTGGTCCGTTCCTTTCTGTGATCCCTTTATTTGACTGTTAACAAGACGGACATCAGCCTTAGACAAACAGTCAGTGCCCGTCCCAAAGGTTCCTCTTAGAAACAGTTTACTGGTGCCTGATGATTTTACAAGTGTTAATCGTGTTTTGTTGTTCTTGTTTTTTTTGTACTGGTGAAGCAGTTTGAACCTTGTTAGAGGAAGCTTCTATACGTGAATGATAATACGTTATTTAATTAGCAGGAGAATGTACATTTTGTATGCATTTTCAAATCTGATCAGACTTATTGTCTCGACTAGCAGCTTACACCTCACATTCGATAATTAACCTTAAAGGTCTGAATAGGTATAAAGCACTTAGCAAATATGAAGGAAAAGCCTTTTGAGTGTCTCGGCGTATCGTCTTATAAGGAAGTAAATGTATTGAGATACTGGTCAACCACTCTTAGAAAAGTTGCCCGAACAGACTAATTCAGCTCACCTAAATAACGTAAGCCGGCCATCTCTTCACTCTAATTTTTTTCGCTCTAACAGGTTAACTTTATCGTGATGGGACTACATACTTAGTTTTCCATTAGTGTTAGACACTTAGGAGACCTGAAAACAGCATAAGAGAGCTTTAGCAGTGTTGTCATCAGTCAACTGTTTTCTCTGGTCACGCATAAAACTTGCATACGATATATGACCAAAAATAAAGAATCAATAAGACCTTTTAAATGTGGAAAGCAACTGTTTGAGTCAGTTTTTAAGTTTTAGGTCTTCTCTGCTAATTCTTGGGAGCGTGATTTCTTCAGTCTAAAGACTGCTTAATCGTCGATTAAGCGGTATTAAGATGTACCTGGGTCAAAAAATTAAAGCTGTAGACTGTGAAAATATCTTGTCAAACCTGGCCTAACCGGGAATAATAATAAAAAAAATTACTATTTGATAGGTAACTTTTCTTTGAACACCAGGCACCGTAAAATAATCTATTGTTTTTAGTAAAGAAATCTCATGCTTTTAGAAGGCAATTGACAGTCCTGAAAGCCATAATTTACCATTTATTCAAAAACTGGTTTAAGATGTCAACAAGCGGAAATAAAAACTGTCTGACAAGTGGTTAATAAAATGATTTACTTCTGAGTTTTTACTTTTTTACTACATGTGCGGCTATATTCTTCGAATTTCGTGTACATGTTGCATTGAAAAGATTGAAACTGGATTTCCAATGTATGCAAGGTCTTCAGTAGCAGTAAGAAGACGTTAACGTATACATATGTTAATTTAAAGCTTCACAGCGTGCAATTTAAACATTTGACTTGCGGAAGTTGGAGTGCAGGGTTTCACTAAGGGGCGTCAAAAGGGGAAGGGAAAGCAAAAATTCTGGCGCGCGAGGATGTTGAAAACGGAGACCTTTTCCCCTCTTTTCCCTTTTTCCCCCTCCTCGTGCGCCCTTCGCGCTCTCACGCGCTTAATTCCCGCGTTCCCTTTCCCCTCTTAAAGCTGCCACGCTGGCTACTTTTAGGGAATTAATGCAATTAAGCCCCTCTACTGTTAAGAGGTTTCTAACACGTTGCAGTTGTGTAAATTGGCTTGCACCTCACACAGACTGCAAGCAAATGTTACGACATGTCCCTTTAAGAATAACAAAAAAATCGGAAGATTTAAAAGGAAGTTAAATGCTCATTTAAGGTACTGAAAATTTGATGCGCTTTTCCTCAAGTCCACTAACAGCCTTTACTGACTGTTGGAAAATGGCACAGAAAGAAAATTTTCCTTAATGTTCCGTTAAAGGTATTGCATGTGACGAGCGGACGCTTTCTGAACATAACCCATACTTGTCTCGCCAAGATGGTACGGGTCATTACAAAAAACCCTTAACATTTACTTGGCTTTTTGGAAGACGGTGCAGTTTGCCCAGTAAAAGAAGCATCATCAACTATTAAATAAATTAAATTACGAACAAAGTGCAGGTGCAATAATATCTTTAAATGATTTAGAAAACAGCAGATGGTTGATTAGAAGTGACAGTTTGCAGCGTCTCTCTTTTTATTAGAAAACGTAATGTGTTCTAAAACGCTGGACGTGGCATACCGCACGTATCAAAACCTCAAGAAAACTCAGGTCTTAGCTACATTCCAGGTTTGGCCAGCATGGCTGCCCTTATACAGGGAATACAAAGTTTAGGAAACAGACTGTAAACTATCGTTGCCATTGCAATCAGTAATTACATTAATTCTGGCGGTATATGTATGAAACTGCTTTTGAAAGAATTGCGCTCAAAAGACATTTGATAATCTGAACTATTTTTGCAGACAGGGCAGTTTCGCACTGCACATTGGGACAAAGCGAAACTCCATTTTTATTAACTTTACATTGTATATGAAGTCAGTCAAAATAAAGGCAAAAAGTATCATTTTTAGTTCTCTTTAGTTTGCATGTAGTGATGAAATACTTTTGGTAAATTAAAAGTCACTTATCATGCTTTTGTTGTTCTTGTTGTTTATTTATCCTTTAAGTTGGCTATAAGCTAAGAATAGTAAAGTACACGCCCGTACCTGTTGTGATACCGTTAAAAGCCAAAGAAAATGTTGTTTTTGTAATATGCTGCATGTCAGTGTAGCGCCTTTATTACCCAATCAGCTTGTTTTTACTTCGTAAGAAGATTTAGAATATTTGGATCCTTGATTTGTTAAACGCAAGGAGATAAAACAAACCCCCACCTGTCGACAGGCCATTACCTCTAGATTCAGCAGCAGGATGGACCTCAGAAAATTTACCGTTTTTGCCTTTCTCCTGAACCTGGAGATTCTCGCTACAACTGTAGAAGGTACACAGCTCTTCTTTTCTTCTTAGGCCGTTGCAATCTACGCGTGTAGGTTCTTATACCTGACAAAAATGTTACTTTTTTCTAGTAGCAATTGTTTTAAAATTCTTAAACTTCAATCTGTTGAAACCCAATTCAACTCGGTCGAAGACTTTTTATTTCACTAACATTTTTCTAGAGAATATACTTGTTTTAGATCTCAACTAAAGCAAGAATGTCTGGAGGTTAGATCATTTGAATTCATCATAGTGATTTGTTTACAAATGTGGGGACACAACCGCCACTCCATCGGGCTTTTAAGTAACTAAATCAGTGCTCGCGGAGCTGACGAATTGTTAAGTCGATTCGATGTATTTATCATCTCGTTATTTGCGAATCCTCTACATGCAGAAGCAATGTTCTCAAGAAAATGACTATATTTCAAAGCTCTCGGTCGATTTATTTGTTTGCCGCAACTCTGTCAAAATATCTACAAAGAGAACAGTCAGGTCTGTAGTCTGGTTACCACTTGGATCGAAGAAACACGAAAAAAAGGGATAAACATTTATCCCATGTTTCATATCCTCAGATGACTTGGCAGTTTTAAGATTTCAAAACCTAAGATTTTGCCAGTGGGGTGAGGACTTTGAAAAACCTGCCCTTAAGACTCCACACCCACATTCTGACGCAATGCGGAAGTTTTAATATATTTCAAATTTTTGAAGGAATAGTGATGATTTCTGTCAGTTCAGCGACCCGCATTTAACAGAAAACCTTAAACAAGTTTTATATTTTTGATTTTTTTTTTCCGAGTCAGTCATTCCCATGATTCCTGTACTTCTCGGTAGCGATCTACAGATTTCCTACTTCGTAGAGTTCTGTTTTAATCCAATCAACGATAACTGTCATTGCCCCTTACCCTTTTGGTGCAAGGAACCGAGATCACCTGATAATGTTTGCGCACGTGTAACGTGACCAGAATCAAGACATCTAGATTTGCTTTCAAGTGGAATAACTGAAAATAAACAAAAAAGTAGCTAGAGGAGTCGAAATGAGACTTGAAGCAATTCTAAAGAGAATTGTCAAGCAATTTGAGTTTGCCAGTAGGATGGACTTCGGAATAGACAATGACTTAAGCACGAGTGAAACATTGAAGGTTGATGACAACAACAAACCAAAATAAAGACAACCTCAATAGGATGGTATCTAAGTGTGCATTTTTTTTCTTTAATTTGATATTACTTTCCTAAACTGATTTGTCTCCAAATGTCTCAGCGTGCGTCTATATCGCGCTGGCCAGATATGCAATTCGCCAACTTATTCATTACCATTTTATGATTAAGAGCATTCTGGATATTTTAAATGTAAACTATCTGAAGTATATATCGTAAAATTCGTCTTCCTGAATTTTCTTCACGTAACGACTATCAAACATTTTATGATACAAATGAAAAGCCTTCTTTTAAGATAGCGCATTTTTCGGTCCTGTGCAACTCGACGGTAGACTGAGTCGTTTATTGTTTTTTTTTTTTGTATTTAACTAGAACTAGGCCAAGTTACGTTTTTACCGCGCTATTTATATGAAAAATGAAATTCACAAAATCCCTGAAAAAGAAAAAAAGGCTTATAATTCGCAAAAATAAATAAAGAGGAACCGATCAGTTCCGTCATTTCCACATCTAAAACACAGCCGCTCTGAGACACGCCCCTCGCCTCTCTTTAATTTCAAGCCACACTCTGCTCATTTTCAGGTATTTCCTATCAAGGTGGCAAACTAAACGCATCAGAGACACGTCAAGGATGGAATTGCGACGGCGGATGTGAGGCGCCACAACATTGTACCCTACCACGCTGCACCAATGTGGTATTTCCGCAAACGTTTAGTGGATCTGGAACCGTAAGTAAACCCTAAGCAATTAAAACTTATAGTCTAATCTTCAGGGTTCGGGGTAACTTTCTTTTGTAAGTGAATCACATTAAGCTTCTTTAAAAATCTAATGTTCTTTACAAATTTTGATTTGCCAAAGTACTTGTGGTTTTCTGTACTTCGGTGCGCATAGGTATGCTTAAGTGCTTCTAATCCCTAAGATGCGTATGTTTTTGAACAAAACAAAACAGAACAAAACAAAACAAATACAAAAAGCCGGAAGATTCTGACGATAAATATAGAAGGTCTCTATTCCATGAAATGGGAATTTGGGGGTAAAATGTGAGAGTGTGTGGAGGGGGGGGGGGGTGGGCGATTGGGGTCGATTAGCTAGACTCTCTTTTTCTTCAGATTTAGTGTGTGGAGTGAACGCGTGCGCGAGCGTCGAGCAGACGCGAGAAACAAGGGAGGCATTCTCGCGCCTCCAGTCACGCGCAAGGCCACGCCTGACTTGCGTGTCTCGCGTATCTCGCGCGTTTCGGTCGACGGATTAGGAAAAAAAGAGAGACTGCTCATAGTCTAGGGTGGACTTGTCACCTGATAAATTTTCATTGATGCCTGTCTTTACCTAACGCATTTCAGGTTCGAGTTTTTGTGTCATTAAGCCATGAAGATCAGTCTTCAGTTGTTCATTCGCCTTCCGCCGTGTGGGCAGAGTCCATTAGTACAGCTGGATTTCAGTTATGCTCGCGTGCAACAGGTTCTACAAACGACACTGGAATTATCAACTGGGTAGCATTCCAGGACAAACCCATGTTAACGCATGGAAGCGTTACTTTTAGCGGAATATGGACAACAGAAACTAAGTGTGAGAAGGTGGCCTTTTCTCAGGTTAGATAACAATAATTGACAACGAGTATATAATTTTGTTACAAAGGTGTAAAACGTAATTAAATAGTAGAAACAAATGAAATAGTATCAGAAGGTAGTTCTAAAACAAATGATCACTAATTAATATCCGGAATTTGCTCTTCACAGCAGAGTTCACTGCTAAAAGTCTTTTTAAGTTTTCACTTGGGCTTATTTTCAAACTTTTCCTTCCATCACCTTTAGATATGCCATTTTCACGTTTTACTTTGGAGGTAGTGATTGAATAATGCTTGACCGTTTTGAATGTATTGATGTGTTTAAGGTAATTTGGAAAATAGAAGTCTATTTTTTAATGATATTAAATTTGTAGCATTAAAATTAACAAAGTTAGCCGAAAAGGACCATTGTTGTTTGTAACTTTATTTAAGTAATGGGCCAAATAAGATGCATTCACCAACCTTTTTAACACTTCGTAGAAAGAGGTGAAAAAGGGGTAGAATATTGAGTTAATGGGAATAGACAAGTAGATTTAATTAATCTGCTCCCCTTAAATCCTTAATTTCATTTAAGTGCCGCTGAGTACTTCATCGATACGTTCATGCTGACTTATCTTTCGAGAAGTTTGTTTATTTTTCAATCGATAGTTTTTGATATATGTAACAATTTTTTTGCAGAGCTTTGCTTCCAAGCCTCGTGTATTTGTCTCAGTTAAGTATACTCGCAGTACAAAGCCAAATGACGCTATGTACTTATGGTTAGAAAACGTCAATTCTGGAGGATTTGAAGTGTGCTTGAGGGAATTCTTGCCCTTTGATGGAAAACACAAAGATGCAGTTGTGGTAGGTGGAGAAAAATGTCCGAGTAAACTATAGTATTGCTGAAAACAAACAAACAAACAAACAAACAAACTTGACTTTGCCACACCTCGGCAGCCCGCGAAACCAATTGCCCAGAACGTTTTTGACGCAATTAAGGTCAGTGTCATGTCTCACGCAGTCATTTCTTGTTAAAGGAAACGTCGCTCGAAACCTGACGCAAATCGTCTTGTAAAAAAAGGGGTAGCAAATTAAACATTATTTTCTTGTCCGCAGGACTGGTTTGCATTTACTGGAAATGGGAGTCAACTTAATTTCACATTAACTGGAGAAGAAATCTTTCCAAACAGTGGAAATCCATCGGCCAAAAACAACTACGGCTTCTGTCAGGTGAAAACTTTAGTTCTAACAAGAACATTTAGCAAGCCAAAGAATACTGATTTTTTAGTGGTTAAGTTCAAACTAAAGAAAACTTAAAATACAGTAAACCCAAACTTACCAGGCCATGGTAATCAACATTGTATCCAAAATGGCAATTCCAAGATGAGCGCGACATGTTTATCTCGCGATTTTGATGTGCGCATATTTCGCGATTCTTAAATTTCGTGACTTTGCGAGAATTTTATATTTCGAATCTCTTCAATTTCGCGTTGTAGACAGTGGGCGAATATTAGAAGTGGGTAATTTACGGAAGATGGGCAAAAATAGAGGGAGAAGTGAGCACGTTCAGATCCATTTACTAACTTACATGACTTTTTTACCTATTTACAGGAAGTGCCTTTCAATACGACCTTTTACAAATCGCCAGTTGTGATTCTTTCCGTGAATCATGAGTATAATCTTAAGGTCAAGGGAAGTCGTCTTCCAGAAAATAATATAATATCAGCCTGGCTAGAGGTAGGTTTGGTTTTTTATTCTAACCTGAGAAAACAGCCCGCCCGACATTTCGCGCGACGCCACCACTAGTTTTCCCAGAAAATGAGGAAAACCCCGTTTCACGACGCAATTACCGGCTTTCCCGTAAAAAAACGTCTGCGGAAGAGTGCAGAAATTCCATACTGATGACGTCTACTTCCCAGATCAAGATAGTGCTTCTGATTGGTCATGCTACAAAATAAATTTTCTTTAACCAATCAAAAGCACTGCCTGCCCAGATCTGCGTAGTGACATGATCATCAGTACGCAATTTCTGCGCTCGTTCCTCAGACGTCTTTTCACGGAAGAGCCTTTAATTGCGTCATGAAACGGGGTTTTCCTCACTGGGTTATATTCTTGATGGTCACTTGAGGTTAATGATAATGAACAGGGATTTTTTCAGTGCTTTACTACATTATTCTATTCAATTATTTGCTTGAACTCTCACGACACCTTTGAGATCCAAAAGCCCATATCACTTGTTCAATCAGGGGAGAGAAGAAATCCGTTTATTCTAATAAATTTGTAAAAGTACTGTGAAAACTGTGAAAAAGCCATAAGAAAGCAATAATTTGGATCTGATCCATGAATTTCATGACTTAAAGGTATCGACGTAGAAATCAAGAAGAAATTATGGAATTTCTAGTAACTGATGAGTGCTATCACATTTTGCTGTAGGAAGTTGGATTAGAATCTATGAAAGTCTGCGTTAAAGACCTCAGTGGATTAGGATCGAGTCATGATCCCTTGATTGTCAGCTACGCTGTTACTGGAGGTTGTTTATAATTTTCCTATTGTAATGATCACTATTTCTAGTAAGAACTATTGTTATTTTTATTATCATTTTTTTTTTGATATCTTTTAGAAGTTGTTATATGTAGGAACATTTCATGATATAATTAAAAAAAACACTGGAGTACAAACACTGACATACCTTATTCATGTTACACTCTATCTTTGCACGAACTTTAAGATTGATCATTGATGGGATAAGAGCAATTAGAGGGCACACAAGTAATAAAATTGCCAATACTAGTAATCGAGTAATCGACTGCATTCTTGTATTTACTGATTTTATCCCTTGCTTGCCCCCTGAGACACCACGTAACATTGCTTTAATTTATTCCATCAGTCCTAAGCGCGTGCAGAGATGGCGGGTATCGTTAATAAGGTCTACTATTAAAGGATTAAAAAAAAAAAAACATTTGTTGAGGTACCTACAAGCAAACATGTTACTACTACTGAACAGTAACTTAGTTTTAATTGAAATATGAAAAATATATTAGACATTTATGTTTTTTTCCAAATGGATAACTACTCAATATTATGTCTCTTTTTTCTTGGTACAGACCTTAATCCTTGCCTTAATGTGCATTGCCCACGGTTTGGAGGCTGCAGGACCTACAGTGCGCATGACGCTCGGTGTGAGTGCGATGACCAATGCCCTTCATATAAAGACCCAGTGTGCACTGCAAACGGAACAACTTACGACAACCGATGCTGGCATAAGTTAAGCTATTGCAGAGGACTTGAAAATAATCTGGTTTATCACCCTGGAAGCTGTGAAGGTATAACGAAAAATAATGTCAGCGATTTTTTTTGGCTGTATATGCCACATGAAATAGTCTGGGAGTTAAACTCTCGATTGCTTAGAATTATTGGTGTTGGCTCAAAATTGAATTGACTTCAAGTTATGATGTTTATAACTTTTCGTTACTTTTAAGCTCGCTTTTAGCTCCTCACGCAGGCTAAACAACGATAGACAGCTGTAACAAGCTACTTCGTCTCTCTGCTTTGGCAAACAAACATATAGCAACCCAGACTATAGCCAATGTTTGGTCTGTGTAAGATCTTTTATCCTCATTTGTCTTGCAATTTAGTTTTTATCGCGTAAAATTAGATTACACAAATCTGCTCGGGGCAAATATGGTGCAAAAAAGTGCAAAAGAGGAGGAAATCAAAGACAAATGGAGTTGCATAATTGAGGGCAAATGCAGTATTTACTATCTTTGCCCTTGATTTCATCCTCTTTTGCAATTTTTTTGCATCTTATTGGCACTGAGTGAATTTGCTGAAAATCAAATATTTCCCCCAGTGGCGCGCGCTCCCAATATACTGGCATATGTTTATCTTTGAACTGGCACATGTTTATCTTGGGCACTGAAACCAGCATGCAATAATAAGCAGCCACTATACATTTCGTTGTAGAAAGGTAGCCGACATGGGAAGTTACAGCCTAGTTTTAGTTCCATTTCCACGCTTTTTTTATCACCACCCTTCACCACTTAGAGTTGCACTACAACGCAAGCTAGGGAAGCTACGTAAGCGATAATGCTTAAAGAGCACAGTGATGCTTCCTTATAAAGTACTTAATTTATTACAAAACAGGTTTTCCAATTGCTCGGGGCCGTGTAGATCTGCTACAGGTTCCAAAATGGTCAGATTCAAACTGTCAGACAGTCACATTTCCTCCATACCGGTTTTATCCGGATAAACAAGTTCATGTTCAAATAACCGTCAATCACATGAAGCTGAATGACTCTGTGACAGTCCACGACGCTGTTACTTCATGGACAGAAAGTATCAACACAAAAAACTTCACCGTCTGTGTCATGCAAACCGGGAGGAAAGAAGAAGGCGCGAATCCATTTGCCACCATTGATTGGGTGGCTTATCAAGGAGCACCGCCCGAAGGATTGACGGGAACGGTTGAGTTGCAGAAATGGTGGTCTGGTACCAACTGCGCAGATGTCACCTTTCCTACGGTGAGATGGGAATGTACATATTAAATTAAATTATAATTGGTGCAAATTCAATTGAGGTCTCCATGACGAATGTTAGACTTTCATTCATGTGACATCTTTAATCCATGTCTTGAAAAAAAAAACAACAACAACAACAACAACACCAAAAACAGCAAAAAAACAAAATAAATAAATACTAAATGATTGGAAAATTGAGTCTTGTGACCCTTAGCCAAAACATGACAGATTTAATCACGACTTGTCTGCGTAACAAAAGAAGAAAAACATCAAGAGCGAAACTGTGAAGGAGAGACCTCCTTTACACCCATTTCAACAAAATGAAGCGCTAATCTGATACAAAGAAGCAGCTTATAGCAAAAAAAAAAGAAAACAAAAACACAAAATATTTGTTTATCTATTTGAATTAACTGACAAGAATTCACAACTTACGTTAAAGAACATATTAAAACTTTCCTTGAACTAGAAAAATGAGGCACAAAGTTAACAAAAAAATAATCGATTATTACAAGGTAACTGGGGAGATGATTGCTAGATCTTCTAAAAAGTTGTGACCGACTTAGCGACTTAGTTAACAAGACAACATTAGGTAACAAGTAAGAATGGGAACTTACTTAGTGGTTAGTTTCAAGTAATTTTGCTGTTTCGATTGTTGTTATTGCTTTTTCTTCAGGGCAAGTTTGCCGAGGCGCCAATAGTCCTTGTGACGTCAGAGCACCTGAGGACTGGTAAAGAGTATGATGCTGCTCTCATTTGGATTGAAGACGTAACAAAGGACTCAGTTAAAGTCTGTCTTCGTGAAATGCAAAACTTTGACGGTAGACACCAAGATATCACTGTGGTACGTTCTTAGTCAGATTTTAAAAAACTGGAACGCGACTGTCCTCAAAATTTGTGAGGAATGCTGGTCTTGATAAAAATATAACAGCGTTAAGAGGAAAAAGCATTGCTAAGTAATGATTGTCTGGGTGATCGCGAGGGATGATCAGTCAAACGAAAGGAAATGTAGAATCAAAAACATAAAAAGAAACGGAAATAATAATAATAATAATAATAATAATAATAATGAATAATAATAATAATAATAATAACAATAATAATAATAATAAGAAGAAGAAGAAGAAAAAGAAGAAGAAGAAGGAAAAGGAAAAGAAATGAATTGAATAGCATTACGGGTGGTGAATTTTAAATAGCACACAAATTGGTCTTCCTTGTCCCCATGCCTCCCTTCACGCTCTTACGTGATTCGCCTGATGTCTTAAAAAATGTGGATTTGCACCCTGTTCTTGACGCCTTGCGCTCTTTGTTAGGTCACAACTTCATAGAGTTCAAAATACTTAGATTCCAAGGGGCCTAAAAATGCTGAGTTTATTTTTTTTGTTGGTGTAGTACGATTCTGTCACAAGATGGGTGGCATCACTTTTGTCTTTTCCTCTTTTCACAGAACTGGTTTGCCTTCTCCAAACTGCACAAGCCTCTTTTCACTGAACATGGTGTCATACGTTTTCCAAATACGAACCCACCTTTGATGAAATGAACAATGCTTATTGCCAGGTGAGAAAAGAATTCTTTTGCAAAAGCACTGAGTAGCATGCTGTTCACAGCATTTTCCCCTCACAGATATATCTCTTTACTTACATCACTGATTATATTTTGAAAAACACTTTTAGTCATATACACTTTGCGCGATTAATAGAGATCAAAGTGACTAGAAAAGTAACGAAGCTGGTCCACTAATCAATACTTTAAGACAAGAGGTCAAGAAGTACAGACCGATAACGTCCCTCTTAACCATTGACAAAGTGTTTGAGCAATTGCACTGTAAACAAGTGACTGTGAAACTCGACCGCATCTTTTCTAGCCGAAGCGCTGCTTACAGAAAGGGACACAGCTGTGAGACCACTCTACTACGTCTGACTGAGGACTGGAAGCTAGCAATAGACAGGAAAGAGTTAGTATGTATTTTATCGTCTGATATGAGTAAAACGTTTGACTCTCTCAGCCACTCGCCGACACTAACAAAGCTTGAAGCATACGGTTTTGAGTCCTCAGCGTTAGACATCATGCGATCATTCTTTAACAACCGCCAAAATAGAGTAAGATTGGGAAATAAGGAAAGGAACTGGTATTAAATCAGCAGAGGGTGTCCTCAGGGGTCTTCCTTCAGCCCCCTGCTCTGGAACTTATTTCAGAATGACCTGCCCTGCTCCATAACTACAGCTAAACTTTCGATGTATGTGGACGACCACCAGTTGTATACCTTCTCAGGAACTAATTTTACAGTTGTAAGGGAAGCCTTTGAGCAGGAAGGTCAACTTGCCCTGTCTTGGTATCGTGATAACTTTCTAGTCGCAAATCCTGACAAATTCCAGGCGATGATCCTTTATCCTAGAAATATTGACATTGAAAGCTAATACACTGATATAAGCATAGATGGTAGGGTCATTACAAATACAGATTACATCAAACTGCTTGGCGTCCACATTGATTGCAGTACGAAGTTCAGTGGTCATATTAGCGAACTGAGTAAGAAAGTCAGTAAGAAAGTAGGGATCCTAATGCGCCTGCGCAATCTTGTTCCCTGCTCAGCTATAAGTCTTCTATAAGTCTTCCATCCTGCCTTACCTTACCTACTGCCAGCTGGTATGGCACTTCTGTAAGGCCTCCAACAGCAGGAAAATAGAACGCCTTCAAGAACGTGTCTTAAGAGCGGTATACAGAACAAAGTCTGCCTCTTACCAGACACTACTAAAATATCAGGACTACCCAAGATGCAAAATCGTAGATTGTAGGATATAGCAATACTTATGAACTCAAGAACAACCTCGCCCCTACTGACTTAGCAGAAATTTTTAATTTAAATGATTCGAGGTATTCTCTGCGAAACAAGGACTTTCATTTACATACTAGATTCAATACTGTAACCTACGGTTCCTACGGTCATTTCGTTACTTTGGACCTTTACTATGGAAGAGAGACTAAACAACAAGGTCAAGCAATCACCCAGTCTTCGGTCTTTTTTAGGAACGCTATCAGAAATTTAGATATTTCTGGTATTTTTTTATTATCTTTTTATTAGCTTCGCCAAAAAAAAAAAAAAAAAAAAAAAACATAGGCAAACAAACAAACAAACAGAAAGAACGTTGGCAGGGACACCGCAACAGCTGTGGCCAATTGCATTGGGCCAAGATACTAATAAAAAAAATCAAAGCAAGAAATATTAAGAAACACAGCGATACAAGAAAAACTACAACTACATACAACAAGTTATTGGACGAGACAAAGGACGAGCACTGTTACATTTTAAACAGATAGACTTGAACGAACGTGGGTCTTCACAATCATAAGAAACAGCTAACGCGAACTTATAATAATTAAAGATAACCGATTTAAAGGAAGCTAAGGTCGATGAGCTCAAATCTAGTTCATCCACTAAAACAATTCCAAATTCCACTAGTTCTAATGAGAAAGGATTTCTGGTACTTAGTAGTTTTACATTTCTTAATTATGTATTTATTAACATTGCTGATTGAGGATTAGTGGGTCTACCGTATTTGCGAACTTCAGGTAGGACAGAGGAGTTCACGTTCAAGACCGTGTTTCAATTTGAAAAAAAAGGTTAGATCTACAAGTTCATGCCAGTAACAAATAGGTATTAGGTTAAGAGTTTGGAAACGAGACTTATAACTTATATTAAAAGGCAGTTTTAACATAAACTTAGTCGTTCGTCTTTGGACACGCTCAAGCTTGACGATGAGTTCGATGGACTGCGGGGCCGTTCCCCAAATCTGGCCTAACTAGGGCTACAATTGCAGGTATAGCGTTCGTCTTACGTCGGTTCTAAGAGTGAACCTCGTGTTCCTCTTTAAGTATCCAAGTAGTTTATGAGCACGCAAAGATTGTTCGTTTACTTGTTTGTACCATGTCAGATCCTTACTAATCCATTCGCCCAGATCTTTTTCTGCAACATATAATTCAAGTGCTGTGTTGTTGAGGTTGTAAGAGGATAAGATCGGCCTTGTTTTCCTTGTTATGTGCTGCGCCTTATTCTTAGCTTCGTTAAAAAGGAGACCGGATGATTGAGACCAAGTTGCAAGCTTACCAAGGTCTTTCTGGAGAGAAGAGGCATCCCCCATAGTCTTTATCTTGCTGAATATTCTTGTGTCGTCAGCGAACACCAATACTCGACTGCTGGAACTGATGACTTCGGGAAGGTCGTTGACGTATAAGAGGAAGAGGGCTGGTCCGAGTATGGTACCCTGAGGTACTCTAGAGGTAGAAGGAAGATCCTCTGAAGTGGCGCCGAGTACCGTAACGCGCTGACGTCGACATGACGGGTAACGCCTCGATAAATGGCAGTTCGTTAGCACCTGAAGCGCTATCCACGGAGTGGCAGGAGATGTTCGGCAAGTTGATGTCACCAGAAATTTAGAAAGATGTTAAATAAATATACCCAACTAGGGTCTGAATCCGGAGGCCCGTAACAAGAACAGAATATAATCTTCTGATCAGATTTTAGAAAATAACGGTGACTGTTGTAACCCTTGCGGGATCCTAATTTTATGATTTTAAGATTTTTAAAATTTTAATATGTATTATTATGAATTACTATGTATTTTAGATTAGTGTGCCAAATCAGAATTATTATAATTAGTATTATCATAGATTATTATTATTATTATTATGTAATTTTAGACAACAGTGTCCTCAATTAGCCATATACGTTGACACTTAAATAAAGTTCTTATGTCTTATTACATTGTTATATTAGACATATCAAAATATCAAAATGGCAGTTTGTTCTGTTAAAATGATTCATCGCAAATATTGCTTGTTCAATTGTGACTTCAAAAATAAACACAATGACGGGAACTGAAGCTAGTAGTGATAAGGAAACAGTGTTAAACGTTTTATGTTTCTCTTTCATGGCAGTTCTTTTCATTCACGAGAGCTTATAACTCGACTCCGACAGTTCTTGTCTCAGCTAATCACAGCACGACGGTGTCTGGGAATTCCGCACCGATTCATAACGGAATTACAACTTGGATCGAGGTAAAATTTTCCCTAATTGGGAAGGATTGTGGGGATGTATCAAGGGAAAAAAAACTTCAAACCAAAAACTCGACGAAAGATATCACTGAACAGAGACACACGCTTGCTTGAGGCGATGTATAGGTCAATAATAGGTGTGGGGCAAAAATATGCCTATTGAAGTTGAGATTGCTTATTGGCTACCTTTTGACGTTAATTATCGAATACGATTATGTTGTCGGTACAAAATAATATGTTTAAATTATAATATCTTTAAATTATCAGCAGGGGCCGCGGTGGTCTCGAAATTCAGATCTCATTGTGTGGGTTTAAAAGTTACTTTAGAGCTGTTTCCTTGGACACGAAACTTTGCTCCAATCATTTGGCTGCTTTCTTCATCAACAGGGATATTTAGCTCCGTCCTTCTGGGCCTCATAGCTAATTTGTGCCACTTCCGTGCCCCTTATTAGGGTCTAAAAAGGATATTTTTGACAAAATTTCGAACGATTATTCACTACATAAGTCTTTGATTTTTTATACCTTTGTTATGTTACATAAGAAGACGTAGGAGAAAGATTTAAAAATATTCTGGTATTCTCTGCCTGTTAATTCAGTTGTTTATGACTACAATTTTAGCTGTACTAAACTACGTTGAGTGCTCATTTTTTTTTTTTCAGAACATGAATACCTCTGGATTCAGAGCCTGTGTCAAGGAATTATACGGGACCAGATATGACCCCTTGTCCGTCGGTTATGCCGTGCTCACAGGTCTGTTACTGAGTTCATTTATGAAGTAGTTTTTAGCAAAGAAAAAAGAAACGTCATTTGTTACCGGATTCAGCTGGAAATACTTTGGAAATTCCCTAAACTAATAACATAATTCAAGTTAATAGTTTTGCAAGTCATGGTTGAGTCAAGAGAGTGTACCTGTTGCAAAAAATTTTCTTGAAGTTCTTTCAAGTTATAATTTTCCTACCCCTCGAAGAATTTCACCGTTTAATGAAAAGTTTTCTTAAAGGATAAATAACGAGCATAAAAGACCTTGCTAGAAATTAAAAGCACCATGCTTAAAACGATCGTTTGAATTTTGTGTTTCTTTAAATTATTACAGTCTGTACATAAGTTCGATATATTTTATCTCTATGCGAGTGGTATATCCCTATCGCTAGTCTGCTATCCAATAATATCTTACTAGTACCTTGAAACCATTAAGCTTTGGAAAACATTTTCGCATCACGCTCCTAACAGTACTGCAAGTGAGATGCTGCTAAGGAATTATCAATCAGGCCGTTTATTTGAATGTATATATAATGACGCTTATGTTTATCTGTATTTCGCAGACATCTGTGAACCTGGTTGGAACTATTTCAACGGCTTTTGCTATTTCACAAGTAAGACTTGTCAAAATTGGACCACAGCACTGGATAAATGCCGACAAGAAAACTCGGCTCTTGTTGATGTCCAAAATAATGAAGAAAATGTGTTTTTACAGCATCTTCACAATGGAGTAAAATCCTGGCTTGGATTGAATGATATTTTCACAGAGGGTTCCTTTTCTTGGGTAGATCGTGGTGCTGGAAACTTTACAGCTTGGGCCAAAAACCAACCAAACAATTTTCGGGATGAGGACTGTGTACATACACTTGGTGTTGAATATAAATATGAATGGAATGACGTAAAATGCAGTGACTGTCATCAGTTTACTTGTAAGAAAGGTGAGAAAAAACCGTCTTTGTGCTCGAGACGAACCCACCGTTTCAATTTCTACCTGCTCATGCGACTTACTTGAAGGTCCCACTCTTTCCGAGGCAAAGGCTATGTGTTTTCTTTCTTTATTTTAAGACCCTAAGTTTTCTTTTCGGCCCCAGGAATTGAACACCCCTTTACCCGTTTTGCATTCCACCCAAAGTTATAGCGTTTCAGCGTTGACATGCTAAAATAGCGCTACGTAGTGTTAGTTAACTCCCATGAAAGCATCTTAATGTCGGTATATCTGATCACGCGGCATTAAAAGAACGAATGGGGCAGAATGGTACTCAATTATAGGCAGTGCCCAAAAGGAACTGTTAGTAAAGTGGGGTTGATGATATACGAGAGTGGGGCACAGAACAGTGTCGGTTGTCCTTATCAACCGGTTGCTGTATTAAGCGGCGTTGGTCATTTTCAGAGAAAATACGTGAGGGTTTGGTCGGGACAAAGGAAAGTGTCCGTATTAAGCAGATGTCCGAAGAGCGGGATTCCACTGTAAAATCTTGAGACGGACTCTTTCTGAATCGAACTCTCATCCTTAGGCATCACTTTATGAGTCGAAAGCCTGGGAAATAATAAGCTATCAGCAAGAAAATGAATGAGCTTGTTTCTCCTTTATTTTCTCAAAAAAAAAGCATGGGTGCTTTCAAGATAGAGTACGATATTTAAAGAGGTTAGTATGATCAGTATTTTTATATCGACAGATCTTAATGAGTGCAGTAGGGACCACTACTACTGCCACCAGCTCGCAAGCTGCACAAATTATCGTGGCTCATTCACTTGCTCCTGTGATCAAGGCTACTATGGAGATGGCTTTCAATGCGACTCTGGTATGATTTTTCGCTTCTTTTTATTCTTAAGTGTTAAACAAAATTTAACTTGATTCACAAGATTGTTTGTAGCCGATATTAAAGAAGTCTTTTTAAAAAAAAAAAAAAAGGTCGAGCGCAACTTCCCATTATTTTCCAAAATGGTTTCAAAGCCCGCTGTTCTCGTAGAGAAAAGATTAGTCTGTATTCTTTCTATTCCAGCAGCTATGCGAAAACAGTCGTTTCTTCTCGCTGCTCGGCTGTTTTCGCAGGCCGATTTTTCACCTGTTTAGCTGTGCAACGGTCGGATATATTACAACATGGCGGAACGTTTCCAAAGAGTCACACGTATCCAACTCCAGAGATAAAGACTGCTATTTTATGTTAACATACTTTTTACAGAGTCCTCCCTTTGTCATCAGATCAATGACAATTCTTTTTAACTTGAGGATCTGGGAGTTGAGGGTCAATGTTGGGTTCTTATTAAGTTTTGACCGGAGATTTATTCATCAATGAAATTTCAATCGTAACCATTTCTCATCGACATTGCCAAAACTGAAAAAAATGGATTACGAACAAAACGGGTCCGTTCAAAAAGAGGATTGAAAAACGTATGCATGAACGAGACATCATGCATGAAGTTGAAAGCAATTATACGTTCAAAGAACCCACAGGATTGGGGTGAATTTAAACGACTTCGCAACAAAACTAATAGTAACGTCAAGATCGCAAAGGAATCCGAGTATTACAAACAATCATTTACTGAACACAAAAATGACTCTCGACGCACCTGGCAACTATAAACGAACTTACATCTCGCAATAACATTATGTCAAAAAGTCAACCCGGATTTCTCTCTTTCCATTCTACGGTCACTGCTCTACTAGAGGCGACTGATATATCTTAGCCAACGTTTGAAATTGCTCTGGTACAAAGTTTTAGTCAGGCTGAAAATTCACTCAATTTCCTAATGGATTCTGTCTCTTACGACGGAAATTGATGCAAAAATGTCTTGGAGCAGATAAAGCATCACGCCAGCCTGAATATCTACTGGACTCCTCTAAAAAAAAGTACTGAACACGGACACAGTGAACTTGCTGACTATTTTAACTTTCATTTTAACACAATTGCTGACAAAGTGAAGTCGTCCCTTCGCGCTATAAATGATTTTGACTTTGATTTTTCATAAACTGGTTCAGTGTGTCAGAAATCGACTAACATTTGAAAACACAGTGTTTTCCATACCACCAATTAAACCTTAAAAGTTTGCCACATATTTGGCAAATACATCATCAAATAAAACGACTGGTGTCGACGGGCTTAGCGTTAGACTTCTTAAAATCGGACTGTAATAAGACCCTCGAAAGCCAGGCTTATCATTATCGTTCATTCGCAACACAGCCATTTCCATCGCAATAATTAACGGCCTGCAGGGTGACTGCACTGCATAAGGTTTGTGAACTAAGTGATGTTAACAACTGCTGCCCTATATCCATAATGCCAGTGCTCTCCAAGGTGATGGAAAGGCATGTGCACCGTTGCTTATCAAATTTATCTGTCCAACAACAACCTTATTTATTTATACCTGTCAATCAGGGTCCAATAAAAACCTCATGATCAGTACATAGACTGCGCTTGCTCATTGAATTAACCCATCTCATTTAATTTGGACAGTGATCGAGTCAATGGAATAGTAACAGTGACTACAAAAAATCATTTTTTTATTATTTGTTCATTTATTATTATTATTTTTTGTCACTCACATAACATAAAAATAAACGTTACAAAAGGTGTTAATTCAAATAAAAGTTGATGTGACAAGGAAGCCTAAAGAAGCTGAGAGCTTATATTAATAGGCTTGATTACAAAGGCTTACTTGATTGCAAAGTGTACAGAAAACATAAAACTAAGCGACAAAACGACTATCAATGAGATTATTTTTCAGATTTTTTTTAAAAACAAATATGGAAGAGGAGCTGGTTAGTGTAATTGGCAAAAATTCCAGATTGTTCGTCCTCGATAAAGGATACTGAACTTTTTAATATTAGTTCTACAAAATGAGGTTCATACTGAGAGGCTAGTCGAGTTCCGTAATGGTGAACCTGGTTAGTAGCTTTCGTAACCTCTTTTTAAATAGTAAGCAGATGATTATGGTGATAGCTAGGAATACATAAATGTAGCAACACAAAAAAGAGATAATGCTATATATGTCAAGGACTTTAAGTTTGCTAAATAATGGGACGCATTTGCTAGATAGTGACCTTTTGATATTAGCCGCACCATGCGCGTTCGCAAAAGGTAAATACAGTTTAGGCTAGAGCAATAGGTGGAGGACCAGGCAACATTACAGTATTTGATATGGTCGACCATTCTCCTTAGTATACTTGAAGTGTATAGGCTGCATCCCAGTGCCTTAGCCTCGCTCGGATGTTATCTTAACGATTGTAAGCAGCAAGGTACATTTAAGGGTCACTCATCACCCACACGAACCATAACATCACTATCTCTAGGGCCTGTTCTGTTTGAGATCTTTAACATTGACCTGCCTGTATACTTAAAAACACAAGTAGATATATTTTCTGACGATTCAATTTAATAGCATCAGTAGACTATTAATGTATCGAGGAGCTGGAAGATACGTTATCTCGTATGGTCTCGAATGTTGATGACTGGGCAACAGCCAACAAACTGCTGTTGAATTGTTCAAAGACCAAATGACTACAACATTTATCAGTGGAATGAGTTTTAAGTCAAAGCTTAGTACAAGAGAAAAAAGAGTCAATATACTGAGTTAAATGGGACTCTACTAGTCAGAGCAAGTTGATCGTCTTAAGTTATTGGGACTTGAACTTGATGATGAGCTTAGTTTTGATAACCATACCGAGGGCTATAATCGGGGTAAGAGACCGTAACTGGATACCTCCTCTAGTAATATGATCAGTTCCATCGAAATAGCCAAATTAAATGTGCTATTTTTAGCAAAAATTATGCCATCTCAGTCGTGTGACACGCGCGCGCATATTTTGCTTGGGCGCAGTTCAATTAAGTACAAACAAACAAAATGGCGTCGCAAATAGGCCATTTTACAGTTATGGATGGAAGCGAGGCTGACGGTGACCTTGTTTTGGTACAAACCTTCCTGCTTTATTATGTAAATCAAGTTATTCTTATGCTAACTAGTATTTTTTTAGGGACAGTTTCCATAACAAAGCAAAGGAGGTTTGTATCAAAACAAGGTCACCGTCAGCCTCACATTCACTGAAGGCTAGTGTACTAAGTCCACAACTGTAAAATGGTCTATTCCTTCATGGGAGTAGATGAATAAATTTCGTCTGCCTCCTCTGAATTTGAGGCATTTTAGACCCTAAGGAGAACCTCTTGACAATATCTCTAAATGTGAGGACTGTGAATGTGGATTCTGCTTATGTCAAATACCGTAGTGCGAGAGTTTTGACAAATCCAGTGACGAAGAGATGTTGGAGGACCACAGGTAATCCAGGCTCTGTGATAGTACCACAGTACGGTTCTAGTAAAATTACAGTGTTTGTAAGGTAAAAAAAAATACGATCCTAAAATTTGTAGGAAACACTAAATATAAGTCAATGAAACTTACCCTGCAGTTAGTTGTTGTTGTCCTTATTGCTCCAACGAAGTTTCTCGTGATAATTTGTTCAGATTCACTCTATAAGTTAAAGTTATAATATACAAGGTAGGAGACACGAGATGCCATCTTCGCTGCCATGCTCATTCAACACAACTTTTTCCCACGAAATTCAAACTCCGACAGAAAATAAACATGCCAGGATCGTAGTAATAGGATAGCAGCAGATATAGAAACCAATGAAGCTTTCCCAAAACACTTTTTTCCAAAACATGTAAAAGGTGATGTTTGCATTTTGCAATTTTTTTAACTCTCGAAAAATTCCAATTTTCAAAGCGCAAAAGCTTAATTGACCACGGCGACAGCGACAACGTTAACAACAAACACCAATTTTATAGATTAGCAAAACATCAGCTTGGAATGTGCATCACACGATCACAATTAATTTGATTGTTTATTTAAACAAAGCGTGATGCACGTGCTTTATTTCTCATTTTGACGCGTGCACTGGAACATGTAGTTTGCTTGGGCGAGTCGCGTTTGTCTCAAGTAAACAATAGAAAAAGTTGTGTTGAATGAGAGCATGGCGGCGAAGATGGCATCTCGTGTCTCCTACCTTGTATATTATAATTGTATATAGAGTGAATTTGAACAAATTATCACGAAACTTCGTTGGAGCAATAACTAAGCATATACTCAGTAATACGCTCAGTAAGATAACAAATAACAAAAAGCACGAGCCTGTTTTTTGTTTGCTTGTTTGTTTTTTTTTGCCTTTTTGGTCATTATTTTTTATTAAAAATTACATTACCCGCCCTTGCGAATAGTGGAAGAAATCAACATCTTATAATCTTCTCTGGCTCCAAATGCAGCCTATTACGTCATTAATATATTTAAACAATACAACTTCTACTATGCAGATGATTTTCTCCTTGAAATACGGCAGCCATTAAGAGTAAATAACACCATTTACATGGGGGTTCACTGTGCTCGTTTCACTGCATCTAGACGACGAAAGGGGCAATTTTGGCTTCAAATGATCATTTTGCACGAAGGGGCTGGGGTGAGTTTCAAGATCAACTCCTTTTTAGCCGGGAAGATGTATCATTATCGCGATTAAAACCTATTGCGTTACAAAGCGGTCTTCATTATCGCTCTTCAGGCGGCAGGCGCAACTTCTGTGTCAGTGATATGCGCAGTAGACGATGCGCAATGTAAAACAAAGGAAACACTAAGTTGACGTCTTCTTGTTTTTTGTTGCTGTTTTTTTTTTCTAGGGGAGCTGAAACACTCCAGAATTTTGGGGAAAAATGAAAACCACTTAAAGTATTTAAGAAACTGGCTCAAACCAGTTGCTCAGGGCAAATCTTCACGATGGAAGCGTTGTTGGCGTGCGTCCTTAGACGGTTGGGCTGCCAGTACTTTTCATAGCCGTTGTGACAACAAAGGACCAACTGTAACAATCGTAAGAGTCGGCGGGAAATACATATTTGGAGGCTACACCAGCCTCTCATGGGGTAAGTGGTTAGGTTTTTCTAAAACTGAACATATTAACATGTAAAATTGTCTAAGGAAGTATTTGAAGCAGAAAATGTTATTACCACGCAGAGGACTAAAAAAAGGGCATTCACGTTGTTTCAAACTTTATCGCCCTTATTCCATTTCGGTTAATTCGCCAAATGGAGGTGAATTATTCTGGGTTAAAATTCGAAAAGTCTCTACCAAATATTAGAAAAAGAATATCGTTGCCTTGTGTTCACGTACCCCATAAAACTAAAATTAGGACGTTTCACATCGTATTCGCGCTGCGAACAAATTCGCCGTCAATTAAAGTCTGAGCTGACGTATTTTCTTTTTAGAGTTGTTCCTCTCTAAAGTTAAAGTGTTTTTCAGGCAAAGTATTCCGCACTGTTGTCTCGAGTGCCGTTGTAGTTTAAATAATTAGTAAAAATGACTAGAACGCGCGTGTTAATTGATCAAGGCTTAAGTTTCCTACTCCGAAGGTGGCCCGAGCCTTATGCGCGTTGGTTATGTTTTTCAATCGCGTTTTTCGACAGAAATGATTTAACCGATTTCCATGATTTTTACCATCCTTAATAGAGAATGGTCGAACTTTAAGAAAACGCTATTTGTTTTCTTATAGGTATAAAAACCTATGAGATATCGGCATATGTTTAAAACCGCATTTTTACAGAAAATGTCAATAATTTTAGAACGCTAAGACAGATTTTTCTCTAACGTCGGCAAATAAGCCTCAGAGCTCTCTAGTTTTATATCCGTAAGTTTGAAGTCAATCGTGAACGTAGAACACGCTGCACAAATAGCTGGTCAAATTAACCTTAAAATGCAACGCTAACACATTTGTCAAAGTTGACGCACGAATAGAGGGAAACTGCCGGCGGACAATCTCCTATCTGCAAGGGTATATATTCTTGCCCAAAGCTTCAGTTGCAAGAAACTGAGCAATCAGAAACATACGGCGAATACGGTTCGCAATACAAGAACTTTATGCTGAATGCGGGGCAGGATAAAAGAATTTATATTTATCAAACACTGGACGAAAAAATGGATTTGCTTCAAATTTGCTCAGCGCAAATACGATGCAAATTTGTGCAAACTGGGGAATAAATCTGAGCAAAGGTGGTAAATGTCGAATTTGCATACCTATTTACACCCTGGTGTAAAAGGTATGCAAATTCGACATTTACCACCTTTGGTCAGATTTATTCCCCAGTTTGCACAAATTTGCATCGTATTTGCGCTGAGCGAATTTGAAGCAAATCCATTTTTTCGTCCAGTGAAACTTACTTTGTATTTGTCCCTCTCTTTACGAAACCTAATTATATTATCTACGAAAAACTCTCAATAGTTTTTACCGTTGCAGGTTTCCGTTTTGAGGAGAAATAAAGCCACCGACTCCAGTACTTCTAACCGTCCATTTTTCAGCTGCACTGAAAGTCCTTGTACTTGGTAATATATTCAAGGTTTTTAGATTTGACATCACATTCGCACGGGAAGTTTGCCACTTGGGGATAAAGATGAAGAAAATATGACAATCGTGTTATTCTTTTCATTATCCCCAATGGCAAAATGCCCGTGCGAATGTGATGGCAAATCTTTCAAACTTGAATAAATTACCTAATACAAGGGTTTTCGTTGCAGCTGAGAATGGATCGGTTAAAGTACTGGAGTTGATGGCTTTATTTTTGCTCAAGACGGGAGCCTTCAGTGCTTAAAAAACTGGTAGGAGATTTCCGTAGATGTTATGTCGTGATTTGTTGAGATTTTTTGCGAAAATAGAAGGGAAAATACTTTGACTTTGATAAATAAAAAACTATCTTAACAAGGCAGGATTTCATACTTGTGAAGTATGAAGTATTTACATAAGACGAGGACGACTATGAGTAAGAGATTTTCTCAATATATAGTAGTACTCAAGCGCGAACCAGCGTCATTAGCTAGGGACTTTAAGATCCAATGATGCAAACGGCAACGAGAACGTCAAAACACATCCTTCCTACCAGGGCGGATAAAGGTTGGGCGGTGAAACGAGCGCATCCGAGCAAAAAGGTGTGATGCAGTGGACTGGGACTCTGCTTAGAAATGTCGCTTGTTTTCGACTTCAGTCAGGGCTTGCGATGTGGTTTGTCCTTTAGACACTGCCGCTGTCACTGAATTATGGCGGCTTGATTTGTTTTCTTGCACTTCTTCCTCGTTTCTTTGTGCTGGTACGCTGTCTCTGAGAGGCAAATGTTGCTATTTTTTGCGGGAGGTTTAATTGGAGTAGACAAACATCTCTTTCAAAGGGTTTCTCTTATTACTTCCATGACTCTACCACTGAATTATATTTTCGTTCTACTACTCGCCAATGTCGATGTTATTCCAAAACAAAACACGAAGGAAAATCTCATCCATGTCATCCATGGCAAAACTAAACGGCAGCAGATCGTGTTTCATAACTAGATGACGTGTATTTTATAAATGCGTGCAGCTCGTGCAAGGTGAAATTATGCTAATTTCTGATCACTATCATCCTTCTTTTTAATTTTCAAAAAAACATCTCATACGTCTTTCTGTTTCTTCGAAACTTCAAAATTAGTTTCCCCTCAGTTTTTACTGTTTACCTTGTTTTGTTTTAGAGAGAAAAACGGAGAAAAAACCTTACAACTAACCTCAATAGATTTTGTTTCCATGCGGTTGCCGGATTTGCGACGCATTGCGCGAATCGCCATGGCGCGTTGCACCCGAGAAGCAAAGTTTGAAGCAGTACAACGCCACTATATCAAAATATGTCAATCTAATTTTTTGTTATGTTATATAAAATTTATCCCCCTTTAACATATGTAAAAATTGAGGTTAAGAAGTGTTAAGCTTTTGCAAACGAAACGGCGAAAGACTATTAGGTGATATTTGGCGGAAGGAGGAGGTATTCAACACTTTCAAATTAAACTCAAATTTTGGCATTATACGACCAACAAGTTTGACTTACAGGCATACAGACACAAACATATGAAACTGTTTTATTGATATTGTTATGAAACGATTTTATCTATTCAACATTGTAGCCTGAAATTACAGAAAGAAAATAGGATTTCCGGTTTGCAAAAAGGAAACTTTCGCCGGCATTCAAGCGCACCGGAAGCGCGGAAAGAGCGCTCGTGCCAGTCCTACTCCGCATCACACATTAAATGAAGAGCGGAGCGCTCGTTTCACCGCCCAACATTTATCCGCCCTGCTTCCTACCTTGTTCTATCCATTCGGAAATTAACGCTGTCTCTGTGATTGAAAAGTGCATCGCTGATGTTCGCTCTTGGTTTATTGGAAATCGTTTAATGATCAATGACGCAAAAACTGACTTTCTAATTATTGGCACCCGTCAGCAACTTGAAAAAACATCTGTTGAATTTATTATCATTGGTGACACCGTCATTAAACCTTTAGAAAGCGTCCGGAACCTTGGGTTCTGGTTCGATGCTCATATGCGAATGAAGCTTTACATAGGCAAGATTTGTGGCAAGGCTTTTCGAGGAATATTCAACATAAGACAAATTACTTACTTAAAATTACTTACCGTGCAATCCACAAAGACACTGATCCATGCCTTTGTATCTTCGCACCTTGATTACTGTAACACAATTCTATTTGGTCTACCTAAATATCAGCTTGATCGTTTACAGAAAGTCCAGAATGCCGCGGCCAGAGTGACTTTTCAGATTGCGAAATTTGATCATATCACACCCGCTCTTATCGACTTACATTGGCTTCCAGTAACGTTTAGAGTTCAGTTCAAATTGCTCCCTTTTGTTTACAAGTCACTACACAATCAAAGTCCATCCTACATTAAGGATCTTTTATCCCTGAAACCAGCTGCTAGTTATACTCTTCGTTCGTCTGCACAATCTCTTCTGTTCGTTCCAAAACTCAACTGCTCTACACTTGGGGATCGGGCCTTTGCTCATGCTGCACCTGTTTTATAGAACTCGCTGCCATTAACTATAAGAACAAGTAGCGGCCTCGCCAACCTCGGAACTTAAAACATTTCTTTAATTTGTTGGAATAGTTCTAATGTTTAATTTCAATTTAGTTTGGAATTTTCGAATTTCATCTTTTTTTTAGATTTTCCCATAGCATAACATATCATTGTTCAGTTATTATAGCTTTCAGGGATCTTTAAATTTTTTATTTATTATCATTATCTTTATTATCATTATCAATAGGAGTTGTTTAATCTTGCCCCGCATTCAGCGCAAAGTTGTTCTTCTTGTTTTGCGAACTGTATTCGCCATAGGTTTCTAAGTACTCAATTTCTTGCAACTGAAGCTTTAGGCAAGAATGCCCTTGCAGATAGGAGATAGTCCGCCGGCAGTTGTCCTCTATTTGTGTGTCAACTTTCAAAAATGAGTTAGCATTGCATGTTAAGGTTTAATTTGACCAGCCATTTAAGTAGCGAGTTCTATGGTCACGACTGACCTCAAACTTGCAGAGATAAAACTAGAGAGCTCTGTGGCTTATTTGCCGAAGTTAAAGAAAAGTCTGTCTAATGGTTTTGAAATTATTGACATTTTTTTTTGTAAAAATGCAGTTTTAAACATTATGCCGATATCTCAAACGTTTTTATACCTATAAGGAAATAACTAGCATTTTCTTAAAGTTCCACCACTTTTTATTAGGGATGCCAAAAATCATGGAAATCGGTTAAATCATTCCTGCCGAAAAACGCGAGTCAAAAACATAACCAACGAGCATATAAATAGGTTCGGGCCACCTTAAAACTAAAATGAAAACTGGATGTAGATAGGGCAAGTTAGAGGGTGAAAATTACTTCAAATTAAGTATTTTCTTGCTGTAGTTCACAAAAAAAAAAAAAATTATTAAACTGAGAGAGTATTTTAATCAAAGCTACGTATACTGATATCAACCTGAATAATAGTATGGTATCTTACTTTTCTTGTTTTTATCTCATCTATTGTATGACGCACACTTCATTTTACTTAATTAGCGCACAATCAGTCCATTCGATGCCCAGGCACTATCACGATTTTAAATGTTCTTTTTTGAACTATTTCAGCTATGTTTTTAATGCTGTAGTCAGTTACTTATAGATGATTAATGTAAATTTATTTTATATCTTTTAAATACATTTTGTATCTTTTTCATTTAGAATGTTATCGTATCCTTTTAGCGTTTTTGTTGTAGATGTATAATGTAAGTAATTTTATTCTTATTTTTCATTTTAGTTCTACATCGTAATCATTTTTACACGGTCCCTCAAGAATTGAGCTTTAAATCTTTAAATTAGTGTTTAAATAAAAGAAATGATGATGATGATTTTGATGATGATGATAATGATTATGACTTATGAGTGAAAAGCTTCAGTATGAATAGGTGCATTTAAAAAAGCTACACAAAGACCGAGACAATTAAACCAACAACATACACTGAGAACGGGGGCTGCTCTACTGTCAACTATTAAAAGTGTGTATCTCTTTATTTATTTATGTATTTTCA